GGGCAGGTTTCAGCAGAGCTTCCTTACTAAGACAGACTAGGAAGAAAGGCCTGGTGATCTTCTTTTGTAAATTAGTCAGTGAAAACCCTACATATCACAACAGACTACTGCCCGATATAGTGCTGAAAGATGAGCCCCCTAGGTTGGAAAGCACTCAGATACACACAGTGTCACAACAATAGACTTGAGCTTACTAATGATTGTGAAGATGGCATAGGACTGAGCAATGTTTTATTCTGTTGTACATGGAGTCACTGTGGGTTGGAGCCAACTTGAAAGCAGCTGATAAGTTGGAGCCCTGGCGGAGCAGCGGTTAAGAGCTTGGCTGCTAACCAAAAGGTTGGTAGTTCGAATCCACCAGCCGTTCCTTGGAAACCCTATGCAGGAGTTCTACCCTGTCCTGTAGGCTCACTATGAGTCAGAATCAACTTGACAGCAGCGGATTTGTTTTTGTTTTAACTTCAGTAACATACAAAAACTCTATTCCTATACTACTCCTCCCTCTCTCTTTATGTTGTTGATGTCACAGTTGCATCTTTATACATTATGTGCCCAGTATCATATATTCATGATCATTATTTATGCTTTCTTCCTGCCGTCGAGTCAATTCCGACTCATGGCGACCCTATAGGACAGAGTAGAACTGCCCCAGAGAGTGCCTGGTGGATTTTAGTTAGCAGTCATAGCACTTAACCACTATGCCACCAAGGTTTCCTTATATCATGTAGAACATAACAAATACAGTTACCAACCACAAATACAGCAAAACTGGCCTTTATATTTGCCCTTGAAATTATATTTACTGCAGGTCTTTATTTCTTCATACAGCTTCAAATTACTATCTAGTGTCTTCATCTTTCATACTAAAGGACTCCATTTAGCATTTTTTTAGGGCAGGCTGGTAGTAACAAACTCCCACACCTTTTGCTTATCTGGGACTGTCTTAATTTCACTCTCATTTTTGAAGGACAGTTTTGCTGGGTACAGGATTCTTGGATGATGACAGTTTTTTTTACCTTCAGCACTTTTAATGTATCATCCCACTGCTTTCTGGCTTTCAGAGTTTTTTTGGAGACTTACTGATTATTTCATTAGCTTGATTTCTCAAATAGAGAAATACATTAAAATTTCTCACTGTAATGGTGAGTTTTTCTTGTAGTCCTGTCAATTTTTGGTTTTTTTTTTTTGAGATTACGTTATTAGATGCATATAAATTTAGAGATGTTACAGCTTCCTGGTGAATTGTTTATCATTATGTAGCAAGATCTTTGCTTCTAATTATTTTTTGCCTTAAAGTCTGTTTTATCTGATATTAACATTGCTAAACTAACTTTACTTTGATTGGTATTTGCCTGTTCACATATTTTTCCTTTTTTTTCTTTTAACCTTTTTTGCATAGTTGATTTTTAGAAATGGATCTTATAATTGGATCTTATTTCTTTAAAGGTCTGATAATTTTGTATTTATCTGAAGCATTAGTCTGTTTACCTTTGTTGTATTTACTAATTTATTTGAATCTGTTCCTACCATCTTATTTTACTCTGCATGTGTCCTGCATTTTCTATACTTTTCTCCCTTTTATTACTTCCTTTTGGATTGATTCTTTTTGCTTATTCCTTTTTATCCCTCTAGTGGTTTGGAGGGAACGCTGGTGGTGTAGTGGTTAAGAGTTCAGCTGCTAACCAAAAGGTTGGCAGTTTGAATCCACCAGGCGCTCCTGGGAAACCCTATAGGGCAGTTCTCTGTCCTGTAGGGTCGCTATGAGTCAGAATCGACTCAATGGCACCAGGTTTTTTTTTAGTAGTTTGGAAGTTTTCTGTACCCTGCTTGTATTCTTGAATACATGAGTATCTAATTTGTAGAAATGTAAATTCTCCTCAGAAGTGAGGTTGGCGAGTCTTTGCCTGGCTTACTTTGGACTTGTCATCAGGAAAGACCAATCGCTAGAAAAGGACATTGTGTGAGGTAAAGTACAGGGTCAGTGAAAACAAGAGAAACCCTCCATAAGATTGATTGACGTAATAGCCGCAACAATGGACTCAAACATAGCAATGATTATGGAGATGGTGCAGGACCAGACAATGTTTTCATTTTGTTATACGTAAGGTCACCATGTGTTGGAGCAGACTCGACAGCAATTAACAACAACAACAAAAAAAGGTGGTTACTATCTTTATCCTCCAAAATAATACAAAGATCTTGGAAAGTGTTCATTTCAAGCATGTACCTTCCCAATTTATGTGCTGCTGTTATCCAGGAAATTGGCCCTATATTGTTTTTTAATACCACAAATTACACCTTTGTTACAGTTTTGTACAATCAATGTGTGTTTAGATTTAATGACGTATTTATAATTTTCTTTGCTCAAAATTCCTTCTTACGTCTTAGCTTTTCTATCTGGGATCATTTTTCCTTCCTTCTGCCTCAAGTTCATCCTTTAGAATTTGTTTATTGAGAAAAGTTATCAAGAAAAACAATAACTCTCTTGGTTTTCTCTACATTATCTTTATTTCATCATAATTCTTAAAAAATGTTTTGCCTGAGTCCACAATTGATAGTTATTTTCTTTAAGCACACTGAAAGTATTATTCTGCTGTGTTTTGCCTTTCATTATTGCCATTGAGAAGCTAATTGTTTGTCTAATTGCCATTCCTTTGTAGATAAAACGTCTTTTAGTGAGAGGCATTATAGCCTGCTGGTTAAAGATGTGGCCTCTGGAATCAGATTGCCTGGATTTGAAATTCAGTTCATTTGTTTATGAGCTGAGTGATATTGGACAAACTTCTTAACCTCTGTGCCTCTTTGTGCCTCAGTTTCCTCTTCTGTAAAATGGAGGCAATGATAGTACCAGTACCTACCTCATAGGGTTATGGTGAGGATTAAAATAACTAATATGTGAAGCATTCAGAACAGTGGTAGCACATTTTAAGTGCTATTGAAGTGTTAGCTATTACTTTCTTTTTATCTCCTTGCTTCTAAGATCTTGTTATCATTGGTGTTCAGCAGTTTCACTATGATGTGTCTCCATGTGGATTAATTTTTATTCACCTTGTTTGGAATTCACTGAGCTCTCTGAGTCTGTGAATTGGTATCTTCTATCAATTCTGGAAAATTCTTAGTCTACCTCTTAAAAAATTCTTAGAATGCCTCCGCCCCATTGTCTCTGCTCTCTCCTTCTGGAGCTTTAGTCAGATTAATTAGTCCTTCTCACTCTGTCCTTTGTCTTTTTGATTCTCTGTGCTGTAAATATTCTGAATAATTTTTGAAAATGTGTCTTCCAGTTCACTAACTCGTTTCAGCTGTGTCTAATATGCTATTAAAACTACCCACTGAGTTTTAAATTTTAATTATTATGATTATATTTTCATTTCCAGAAGTTATATTTGGTTCTCAACCAAATCTGCCTAGTCATTTTGTATAGTTTTTTCCGTTTCACTCATATGTTTGATCCTTCCTTTTATTTCTTTATACATATTAAGACTACATATTTTATATTCTGGTCTGATAAGTTCAGTATATAAAGTCTTTGCTGGACTGATTCTGCTGCCTGTTTGTTTTTGAGCCTCGTTAGCCTGATGTAACCCCTGAGATGGGGCCAGCCAAAAGGTTTTAAGTTGTGAAGGGTTATTCTTAATATAAGGAGCCCTGGTTGCGCAGTGGTTAAGCGCTCAGCTGCTAACCAAAAAGTTGGCAGTTCAAAAAGGAGTCTCTGCGGGAGAAAAGACCTGAAGATCTGCTTCTGTAAAGATTACAAAAAACAAAACAAAAAAATCCAAACTCGTTGCCGTCAGGTCAAGTCCAACTCATAGTGACCCTATAGATTATAGCCTAGGAAACCCTACGGGGCAGTTCTACTGTCCTATAGGGTCACTATGAGCCGGAATTGACTTGATGGCACATAGCAATAATTCTTAATATATTTGCTACTGCTTTCCTGCCGAGGTGTATTCCATACCCCCCTACCCCTTTCTTTTTTGGGGGCGGGGGCGGGGGCGGAGTTTTCAATTCATCTTTTGCAACGGTGATTCATTTGCAAGATTCACTCCCCAAAAAAAGGTGAAGACTCTCCTTCCCACCGCCCGGTCCCTTCCCTACTGGCCCCAGTTATTAGATTCTTGTGGATACTTCTGGGTATGTTAATGCATATTCAAGCAAATACAGATTTAGAAATTCTTTTTCTCCCTTTTTTAACGCAAATGGTGGCACACTACACACATTGTTCTGAACTTGTTTTTAATAAAAAAAAATGTTTCTGATTCTAAAAGAAATACTTGCTCATTTTGAATAACATAAATACCTACGTGTCTATAAGTAGAAAATGAAAGTCCCCCTGGAATTTTATTCCCCAGAGATAATCTCCATTACGCATCTATAAATACGTATTTACATAAATGGACTTATGCAACAGATACTGTTCTGTAACCTTTTTTTTTACTTTTTCTCATAATAATACATCGGAACATCTTTCCACGATTCTTGCATGTCATTCATGCCCTCAGGGCTGTCTCTCAGTACAGCCCAGGAGTTAAGTGCCTAGGCTTTAGAGTCAGACTGAACTAGGTTCTAATCCTAGGTCTGCTGCTTAGTAGCTACGGAACTTTTCAGATCCTCTCTCAGCCTCAGTTTTCTCATCTGTAAAATGGGAATAGTAATAGTACATACCTCATGGTGTTGTTCTGAGAGCTTAATGAAATCACGTGTGATATGCTTCCCCTGGGGCCAGCCACCTTATAAGTCCCTGAAGACGGTAAATTTTATTATGATTCCCTCACTCTTTTAACGGCCACACAGAATCCATGGTATAATGTGTCACTGTTTTTTAACCATTCCCCTTTTGATGGACATTGGATTGTACCCATTTTTTTGTTATAAATGCCGACCCAGTGAACATTGAACATGCATCTTTCTCCTTTGTGTGAGTGTGTTCTTGGTGTGAATTCCCTGCAGTGGGGTCTCTGGATCCTCTGGATTCTAATTTCTGCATCCTCTTTCTCTCCAAGGAGGAAGTGGAAATGCCCCATGGGGTGAAGCATGTGTGTTATGTAGGTTTTTTTCTTTTTATTACTACCTGTCTTCCTCCCTTTCCCCAGGGCTGGCAGGGATGGGGAGACGTCCTCCCCAGTAGCTGCAGTCCTAGCCTCTCTGGCCTGCCCTCCTCCAGTGCATCTGAATATTTCCCTCCCCCTTTGATACTGAATTGAAGTTTCCCCTGAGCCTTGGAACATGATTATTTCATGATAATTCATCCAAGGATACGTTTTCAGACCCACTTGCTTCCAAAACAATTCCCCATGGTTTGCCATAAATAAAAATAATGAAAACACAATTAAAATGGGATAAAAGCTTAAAGGAAAGAAAGAGGAAGGAGAAGGGGAAATTTTATTACAATAATCCCTTCATCCTCTACCAACCTCGGAAAGCTGTAACTGCTAGGCTCAAAGTTAACACTGAGCTTCCTGGCAGCCATAGCAAAAAGGGCACCAGGATAGATTCTGTAGCCTTTTAGAAGATCAAAAACCACTCTACACTTTGAAATGGTCATGAAGGGTTTTCTCTTAGGGCAATAGAGGGGATGATTGGCAACTGTACAGAAGGGGTGATGGATATGATCACCATGTGGCTGCTTCAGGCAAAAGGCAAAGAACAAGTCAGTGACCTCTAAAAAGGGGCATGACAGATCTTTGAGGAGCAGGAACCAGAGTCAAAACAGGATATGTCCCCCCAAAGGAGATGTGTGTCTGGTCAGAAGGAAGGTTAGAAGAGTCCCAGCGGAGGGTCCTGTTAACTCTAAACATGGCTGGGGTGAGAGGGGAAGGTGAAAGGATGGGAACGAAGTCAGGTCTCTCTCCTGGGAAAGGGAGGCCAGGCAGTCAGCAAATGTTTATTGAACCCTATTATGTCCCAGACCTTTTCTAGGCATTGGGGATACAGCAGGGACCATGACAGACATGTTCCCTGTCCTCATGGAGCAGACAGTCCAATGGAAGAGAGTGACATGAAACAGTCACAGGTGAGATGAGCATCTGAGGGGGAAGAGCAGCTGCCTGTATGTCTCGGCTCTGAAGTTCTCCTCTCCCCTGCAGTTTGGTTCTGGGACAGTAATCCAGCTCCTGGGGGCCGTCAGCGACAGCCAGGCTGGGGGGCTGCAGCCTCCAAAGTTGGAGGCCCTAGAGGACTTGATGGAGATCAGCTCAGCCTCACCTACCCAGAGGCCCAGAAGGAAGGCAAGGCCCGTGGCTCAGAGCCACACTGGGTACCAGGTACAGATCGGGGGTCCTTCACATACAAATGTCACTTTATCCTGCTGAGCGGGGTGCCTTCACACCAGATTCACAGAGAAGTCTCTGAGGCTCAGAGAGGGATGACTAGCTTTTGGTCACATAGAACGTAATAGCCAGAGACGGGGTTGGACCCCAGATCTGCTGGCCCCCAGGCGTGTGCACCAGGAGGGGCTGGGCCTGCAGCGCGTTTGGGGAGGGAGCAGGCAGCCTTTGGTCCTGGCTGACTACTGTGCCTGCCACGCCAGAGTCCTCCAGCTGCCTCCTTCAGGATGGACAACATGGGGCTCTGTGAACCCTGACCCCTTCCACCATCCAAAGAGCCATTCCTTGCCTCTTGGTGACCCCACCTTCTTGGCTATGTCGTCTTTCTCTTGCAGGAGGAGGCTTCTGTTCAGGAGGCCAGTGCCGAGTGTCCAGGGGTGAGTGCTTGTGCCCCAGCCACAGGGCTTCCTTCACTGGAGCACGGTTGAGAGGTGGGAGGAGGGAGGCAGCTCAGGGCGGGTGATATTCCCTGGGGCCAGGAGGCTGGGCCCAGAGGGGCAACCTCAGTTCCTCACCCCTCCCTCTCAGGCCTTGCTTCTGCGCTGTGGAGGGATGGAGGTTGAAGAGGAGGAGCCTGGTGAAGCAGAGATGGGGGAAGACTCAGGTGAGGGGCCATGGAGGGTACCCCCTCAGCTGCCTCTTCTCTTCCAGGGACTACTGGGGAGGGTTCGAGCCCAGCTCCTGGTCACCAGCCCCTGCTAGGACCCTTCCCCCCTCCTCCCCAATCAGCCTACAGTCCTTCCCCCAAAGGGATGGGGGCTTTTGGCTGCCTAGGCCCAATTCCCAGATGGATGGGAGAGCCTAGGCTCCTAAGGGTGGTGGGATCCTTCCCCTGCTTGCCTGAGCTCCTCAGTGTTGAGTCCACCCCCTCCTTGTGCTCCTGAGCACTGTCTAGGAGCCCAGGATTCTCTCTTCCTGCAGCTCAGCCTCAGCCCCAACAGGAGAAGCTGTCCCTGGATATCAGGGTACGGGGCATTGTGGTCCGTGCCATGCAGGAGGTGTTGTGGAGTCGGTAAGGCCATGCTCCCCACTTCCCTGACATCCAAGACACCCTGATGGGACTGCCCCCACATGCCACCACTTCCTAGGGCTCCATGGGCTTGATGTCTTTATAGCCAAAGGGGACCATGCCATGCCATGTTCTTGGACTGCTGTGTGCCTGGCTAACCCCATTTTGTAGCTGCGAGGTCACACTCCCACCCACCGGGCCTGTGGAGAGCTGAATTGTGGACATGGGTCTCTGGTTCCAAGGTCGAGCTGTCCCATTAAGCCATTGCAGCCTCTGCTCCGGTCCTCATAGATGTCACCCACAAGAATGCTTTTAGACACAATGAGACTCTGTGCTGGGATAGTGTCAGAGAGCTGAGCCTCAAGCTCTTGTTTACAGATGGCAAGACCAAGGCTCAAAGAGGGAGGACTTTGCAAAGACCACGAAGCATATCATTGGCAGATTCAGCATTACATCCAGGGTCTCCTGACCTCCAGGTCAAGGCTCTGTCCCCTCCCCAGACTGATGCTTTACCCTCAGGCTTCCTCCCCTCCACACATACCCCAGTTCTGTTGACTCAGGGATAGAGCATGGGCTGAGGAGTGAGATGGATCTGGATCCAAATCTTGACTTTGCCACTAACTGTGTCACCTTGGGCAAGCCTCTTACCGTCTCTGAGCCTCAGTCTCCCCATCTGTAAACTGAGAATGAGAATAGTCCTTCCTCACAGGGTTGGGATGAGAATCAACAGTTCATGTAGGAAAAATGCCTAGAAAAGAAAGTGGAGTTGACCTAGAATACCCCGACTCTCCTCCCCGCCCATAGTGTTCCCTCTCAGGCTGAGCGCCCGGATGACCCCACAGGCTCAGTCCCCGTGACCCTGCCCTTGTACCCCTCAGCCTTCAGGAGCTCCCACACCCGGCAGTGAGTGAGGAGGCAGTAGAGAGTATCGCTGCTGCCATTGAGGCGGCCCTCTTTGACCTGACACAAGACACCAGCTGTCGCTACAAGGCCAAGTACCGCAGCCTGGTGTTCAACCTACGCAACCCCAGGAACCCGGTAAGCAGGGCTGTGGGCCGGGCTGGCCTCTCCCTTAGAGGCTGCAAAGCCTTAGTCGCCGGGCAGGACATTGGGGTGGGAGCTTTCAGACTATAGTGCAGCCCCTGCCCCCCTGCCCCCGCAGGACCTGTTCCTCAAAGTGGTTCGCGGAGATGTCACCCCCCACGGCCTGGTGCGGATGAGCTCAATCCAGCTGGCCCCCCAAGAGCTGGCCCGCTGGCGGGACCAGGAGGAGAAAAGGGTGAGCTGCTGGGTCCAGTCGGAGAAGGGAACAGGAAGGACATGGGGGAGTTGGGATGTGGGCGTGGTGGCCCAAGGATGGAACAGGGAGAGGCAGAGAGAGACAGAGAGCAGGGTGAGGGGGAAGACAGGTGAGACAGAGGAAGCACAAGAGAGACATAGAAACAAGGAAAGAGAGAGAAAGAAGGCAGATGGGGAGAGGCAGAGAGACCTTCCCCACAGGAAAAATGGGAAAAGAGGCAACAGTGAAAGGATTGGGGATGGAGCGCTAGGTAGAGGGGACACATCTTACACTTGGTTTTCTATGGAGTTGGACTGTGCTGTGTGTGGGGATGGGCAGGGGGAGGCTCGGGATGATGGCTCAGAGCCTAGAGGCACAGTTGTCGTCAACCATCCATGGGGGGTAGTCCCTTTGAGGTGTCCCTCTCCCCATTCCAGTCTGAGGAACCCTGGAAAAGACTGGAAGTGAGAGGCCCCATGGATCCCCTGTGTCCATGGGTCTCCTCTGGCCTGAGAACTCCTCAGGGGAAGAGTAGGTTTGGGTACTCAGCTGGCTTTGGGTAATGCTTGCCTAGTGGTGATGGGTGACTGAATGAGAGAGGGAGGGAATGATCTGGGGACTGGGGCCAGTGGGGAGGAGGTGGGACACTAAGGCCCCTGTTCTGGAAGACACTGGGCTGATTAGAATGAATAACTAGAGTCCATTAGGTGAACCAGCAGCATCCACTATAGGTTGAGCTTCTGTCCAGACACTGTACGGGGCCAGGAGCAGGACCAGCTACATAATTTTCGGGGCCCAGTGCAAAATGAAAATGCAGGGCCCCTTGTTCAAAAATTATGAAGAATTTCAGCATGGCGATAGCAGAGCATTAAAGCAAGCACAGGGCCGTTCTAAGTGCGGGGCACTGCGTGACTACACAGGTCAGACGCCATGAGGCCGCCCTGCCAGGGAGGCTAGGACCCCTGTCCTTAGCAGGTGTTAGAAAAGGAGAGTCATGCTTTCAGGAAACATTTCAAACAGGGTGATATTGATCAACAATAAACAGAGTTAGAATCAGCCAGCACTCTAAGCACTCTACATATGTTGTTTAATATACTTAATGCTCTCAGCTTACTTCCAGGGAACAGATAAACTGAGGCTTAGAGTGGCAAAGCGCCTTGCCCAAGGCCACACTGCCTTGTGTTTCTTTATCAATAGCCTAGCTGGGACTCCAGAACCTGCCCTCTTTTGACTATACCACACCCTTCTCAGGGCACATGATGGGGTACAGTCAGAGGTAGAATTGACTTGCGGTTGAAGGTCAAGTCCAAGAAGGCTTCCTGAAGGAGGCATGATGTGAGTTGAAGGGTGAAGGAGTGAAATATGGGGAGGTAGGGCTGAGGGAGGAGGGCATTCCAGGTGAGGGGAATGGCAGGAACAAATAAATCCAGGCTGTCTGACTGCAAAGCCTGTCAGTGTGGAGGAAGGGAACGGCCTGGCATGGAAGGAGAACCACAGGAGCGGGGCCTCCAGGGTGGAGGCTAGGCATTTGGCCGCCAAAGACCCCCTTAGCCAGCTGAGCTTGGGCTTCCCCACCCCACCAGGGCCTGGAGATCATTGAGCGGCAGCAGCAGCAGGAGCTATGCAGCCTCCCAGCCACCAAACTGACCCACAAGGGTGAGGTGGAGATCCCGCGGGACGACCAGACGCTGACCCTGGAGGATCTGGTGGTAGGTGTGACCCTAACCTGGCTCCAGGTGGGGCCTGTGCCCAGGGATACCACTCCTCACCTCACTCGCTGTGTGGCTTGGTCAAGTCACCTGACCGCTCTGAGGCCCACCTTATTGATTGACCATTACCGCGCAGGGTCCAGGTGAGCATGCATTGAGAGCGAGCCGCCTGCACAGGGCCTGGCGGTGCCTCCTTGGTGCTGGTCCCCTTCTTTGCCCAACCCCGAGGCCCCCCATGAGAATGGTCATCAGTCCTAACACCATAGTAGCCCCCCCACCTCAGACATTCCGTCTGGATGTTAGGTTGGGAAACAGGATGGCCATGCTGCTCCACAAGGGAACAGAGACTTCTTCTGTTTAGTAGAAGGGCTAGGGACGCTCCAGGCAGGACACCACCCAGAGCCCCAGGGCAGCCTGTCCAGCAGGCCTCCTGGAACTTGCTCAGGGACCTGGAAAGTCACCAGGAGTGACCACAGTCTAGGTCTCTTGTTGCTGGGGATCTTGGCCGCCATCCTGCTCCTCCCTCCACTTTGGCTCCTCCGTCTGGCACCCATCAGCTGTGCGTCCTGCAGCCAGTCAGAACTGCCCCTTGGCTTGCCTTAGTCACTCTCAGGAGGCTTAGAACGCTCAGCCCAGGCTGTGGTGGGGTGACCCATGGGTCAGCTCTTTACCCTGGTCCAGTTGGCCATGCCTGGGATGTGGGGTGCAGGGAAGGCCCCTTGAACCATGTTCTTTGACTCAGTACATACTTACTGAGCACCTACTCTGTGCCAGATGTAATTCTAGGACTGGGGAAATGGCAGTGAACATGACAAACAAAAATCCCTGCTCCCTGCACACATCCAGGCCAGTGACCAGGAGAACCACTGCCTGTGCAGAGGAGCCCCAGGGGCGTGTGACTGCTTCCCCAACCAACGCCAACCTGTATTCCTGGAATAAATTGAACGTAAATATAGGGGGAGATGCTAGGTAGACCTAGAGAGAAGCCCTCCGCCCCCCGAGAGAAGAAAGGTGGCAGAGTAGGCGAGGGGAAAACAATACATAATAACTATCTTTACTCTTTATTGGACACCTACTAGGTGCCCCTTTTACACATAGTGCCTCATCCAAACCTCACAATGAGCTATGAGATAGGTGCTATTATTATGCCCATTTCATGGATGAGCAACGTGAAGTCATTTGCCCAAAGTCACACAGTCTGCCGTTGGTGGAGCTGAGATTTGAACCCAGGCTGTCTGACTCCAAAGCCTGTGCTTTGGCACTGCAGTGCAGGTCATTTACGAGGCAAGTTAGAGTTTCAAAGTCTGATGTCAAATTTAGAGTGTTCTTCCTAAAGCAATGCTTACTCTTTTCCTTATGCTTTTTGCTATGGTTTGCGTGTTTTACAATGAGCATTATATATAAGCAAACCCGAAACCCATTGCCATCGAGTCAATTCCAACTCATGGTGACCCTATAGGACAGAGTAGAACTGCCCCATAGAGTTTCCAAGGAGCAGCTGATGGATTCAAACTGCCAACCTGTTGGTTAGCAGCCAACCTGTTAACTGCTACACCACAGGGGTCCAGCATTGTATATATAGACATAGATATATGTATGTATATGTGTATATATATAGCATTAGAGTATTTTATATATATATATATCTCCCATGGCTGTTGAGTCGATTCCGACTCATAGTGACCCTATAGGACAGAGAAGAACTGCCCCATAGTGTTTCCAAGGCTGAAATCTATACTATGTACTATATACTAAGACCAACATTTGACGGACTGACGTTAGATGTGAACCATACCTAACTGTTCCAACTTATGCACAAATGCGACTTAAAGACAAATTTAGGAATGGAGCTCATTTGTAATCCAGGAACTACCTGTATATGTAGCATTATATATACACATAGTGGCGCAGTGGTTAAGAGCTACAGCATGCTATGGCTGCTAACCAAAAGGTCAGCAGTTCAAATCCACCAGCCACTCCTTGGAAACCCTATGGAGCAGTTCTACTCTGTCCTATAGGGTCACTATGAGTCCGACTCGATGGCAATGGGTTTGATTTTTTGGTTTTTATACACATATACATATATGTGAGTGTGTATATATATATATATGTATAGCACTATATACCCACTCCTTATCAACTGTCTCATTATAGGACATTTTACATTTACTGCAATAGTAAAAGTAGTATATGACTGTTTTTTGCATTAACGGTGTATGTCTGGCAGTAACGAACCCCAGGGTGTGAGGCAAGAGTAACACTGCTTGTGATGGTTAAAATTATGTCAGCGTGGCTGGGCCATGATTCTCAGTGGTTTGGCAGTTATGTAATGATGTAATTTGGCAGTTATGTAATGATGTAGTCATCCTCCATTTTTTGATCTGATGTCATCCATTTTGTGATCTCATGTAATCATTCCCCAGTTTGTGATCTGATGTGAGCAGCCAATCAGTTGAAAAGGGAGTTTCCTTGGGGGTGTGGCTTGCATAGAATATAAATGGATATTTCAGCAAGGCTCACTCTTGCTCTGGATCCTGCATCCTGCATCCGGCTTGTCATTATCTAACCTCCAATTCTTGGGACGTGAGCTAGCAGCCTGCTGCCTGACTTGCAGATTTTGGGATTTGCCAGCTCCCACGTAATGCTGATTTTCACAGAACGACCTGGTCTTTGGAATCTAACCATGTTGATAAGGGAGGAGTGGGTGTATGTATGTATGTATGTATGTGTATACACACACACACAGACACACACACACATCTTCTTTGGTGGTACAAATGGTTAACATGCTTAGCTGCTAACCAAAAAGGTTAGAAGTTCAAGTCCACCCAGAGGCACCTCAGAAGAAAGGTCTGTCTGGCAATCTACTTCAAAAAAATCAACCACTGAAAACCCTGTGGAGCATAGTTCCACTCTGACAGGCATGGGGTTGCCATAAATCAGGACTGACTCGATGGTAACTGGTTACTGGTATATACCCCAAAAAAAACAAACCAAGCCCGTGGCTGTCGAGTTGGTTTTGACTTATAGCAACCATATAGGACAGAGTAAAACTGCCCCATAAAGTTTCCAAGGAGCAGCTGGTGGATTCGAACTGTCAACCTTTTGGTTAACAGTCATAGCGCTTAACCACTGCACCACCAGGGCTCCATATATATATATATCAGTACTATATATGTATGTGTCTGTGTGTGTGTGTATCAGTACATACTGTGTTTTGTGTTTCAAGCTATTTCTATTGTGAGAGAAAAAAAGTTATCTGGCAATTTGGCAGTGGACAGCAAGAGTCTTCAAAAAATGTTCGTTCTCCCTGATTCTCTCATCTGCTTCTGGGAACTTATCCTAAGGAAATAATTGAAAGTTTAGGAAAAATCTTTCTGCATAAAGATGTCCTCAGTGCTATTTATAATCGTGAAAAACTGGAAATGATCCAAATGTCTAGCACCAGAGGTGACACGTAAACTACAGTCCACTCCGTCAGTGCAGTGTCGGCAAAGACTGTACAGCGTTGCAAACGCCTCTGCTATAATTAATGAAAACAAAGTTGAATATTTGATTCCAGCTACTTCAGTAAAAGGACTTCAAAACCCTGCGTTACAAACTGTTAGAAAGGAATATCCAGAATATTAACCAATGTCTCTGAGTGGTGGGACAAGGGGCGTTTTTTTGTTTTTTCAATTTTTTTATACAAGTAATGAAAGAATATATTGTTTGGTAAGATAAAATAAGCCATGCCCTTAAGGCCCCCTACCCATGGAGGGCCCCGATGTTCCCAGCTGCCTTCCCAGCCCGCCCTTCTCTCCTGTGTCTCGCAGGGACCCATGGTGCCGGTAGACTGCAGCCCACTGGCCCTGCCTGCCACGTCGGGGGACACCACAGAGCAGCACGAGCACCACTTCCTAGACCCTAACTGTCGAATCTGCAGGGGTTGGTGCAGGGGCGGTGGGCAAGCTGGGCTGAGCATGGGGTTCAGCAGCAACAGGGAACTGTGGCCTGGGGGAAGGTGTCAGGGTGGGGTGCCCATGCCCCGGAGCACCTCAAAAAGAGCCTGGTTCAGATCCTGGCTCTCAAGCCCTGGGCTGGCTTCAGGCTCACTGTCTGCCTGTTTTAGCTCCTGCCTCTGCTGTTTGCAGGGTGTGAGCCCTCGTGTGAGCTGCCAGACTACTTTGAAGCCACCAGGAGGAGAGGGGACAATATCTTCCAGAGAGTCCCAAGCCCAGCCCCTGTGTCCTCTCCAGAGATGCCCCAAAACAGGGAGAAGTCTCGCACAGATACCCAGGACAGGTGTGGGGCCGGGGGCAGGGAAGTGGGCAACAGCAGTGGGGGGGGGGCACCAGCTGGTGTAGCAGACACAGCAGGGGCGTGTCTTGCTCTGTGGCCTTGGGCAAGTCCTGCTGCCTGTGTGGGCTTCAGTTTCCCCCTCTGTGCAATGAAACAAATCATCCAAGCCTGCTGGACCCCCCTGCACAAGGCCATGCTTGGACCAGTGTGTTGGTTCGGCCAGCACTTCGTTCTCGCCCCCTACCTCAGGGATCTAGGCACTGCTCTGAAAAGAAAGGGAGCAGAAGCTGGGGCAGAGATGCTGGGGAAAGTCCTGGTGACCTGCTGTGCCTGGCCCTGTCTCTCTGTCCCTCCCTCTAGGACCCAGACACCTGCTGGGCCCACAAAGGCACCAGCCAGCCAGCCGCCCTGGGAGGGGGCTCTAGACATGTTCTCAATCAAGCAGTTCCGGGCCAAGGCCCAGCTGGTCTCGGGGCACAGCTGTCGGCTTGTTCAGGTACACCTGTGTGCTGGGGACGCCCTCACACACTGGCCAGCCCAGTCAGCTCCTCACACTCCCATTTACACACTCGTTCATTCTTTTACTCACTCTAAAACAAGTCGTTGACACCGCTTTCTGCCAGGCCCTGTGCCAGGCATGGGGACAAATGATATGCCAGCCCTACTGCTGCAGAGACACACATGATAAAGGACCCAAGGCACCAGGGGCCCGGGAGAGGAGTCTGGTGCCTTCCTGGCCCTGCCAAGAGGAGGGTTTTAGGAGTGATTGTTGAGTGACCGAATGATCAGATAAAAGTACTGGAAGGGTGGGAGGCTGGTGGAGGGAGTGAGGGGCTTCTGCAAATAGCTGTAGGAGATGGGCCTGGCCAGGCTGGCAGTCTCCAGGGGCGGTGAGGGCTTTCCAGGCAGCCACTGAAGATCCTGACATACTGCCTGCCCAGCCTCCTTGCCCAGGGCGGCAGCCTTCCAGGTGGCTGGTATTGCGTCCGCCCTGAGTGGGTGGGAAGCTGGGGGCTGACTGGCCATCCTACCTGCCCCCAGGCCCTGCCGGAGGTGATCCGCTCAGCGGGCTGCATTGCCCCCAACACTGTCTGGGACCTGCTGGCCAGCATCTGCCCGGCAGAGGCCAAGGTAACTGACCACCCTTGGGCAACATCTCTCCTAGCACCCTACCCCTGCCTGTCTTAGTCTCCTAGTGCTGCTGTAACAGAAATACCACAAGTGAGTGGCTTTAAAGAACAGACATTTATTTTCTCACTGTTTTGGACGCTAGAAGTCTGAATTCAGGGCTTCGGCTACAGGGGAAGCTTCTCTCTCTCTGTCGGCTCTGGGGGAAGATCATTATCTCTTTCAGTTTCTCTAGCCCCGGTGTTCCTCGGCTCCTTGGCAGTCTTCACGTGGCATCTGTCTCCCTCCTGCCACCCCCCGTTTGTGCCTGCTCTGTGTCTAATCTGCTCTTTAAATCTCAGAAATGACTAGGTTTAGGATACACCTTACACTGACATGTCCTCATTAACATAACAAAGAAAACCCTGTTCCCAAACGGGGTTACATCCACAGGTATAGGGGTTAGGATGCCAAGACTTATTTTGAGGGGACTCAGTTCCGTCCATAATATTGCCCTTGCCTCCCTTTCTCTCCACCTCTGGGGCCGAGGCCTGGTTTGGGGATACTGGGTCTGGTTTCCAGCGGGACTGCAGACTTGCCGCGTGACCCCGGGAAGTCCCTCTGTTTCCTCTGCTGTACGATGGGAATCCCTCACAGGGTTCTTGGAGGGTTAGATGAGACCAGGGGTGTTTGCAGGAGCAAGGAGTGGCTGCTCCTAAAACTGCTTTCCTTCCTGCGGCCACAGGACGTCAGCGTGGTCAGACTGTGCCCACATGGGGCTCGGGACACCCAGAACTGCCGCCTGCTCTACTCCTACCTCAACAATAAGCAGCGCCATTGCCTGGCAGCTGTGGACCACATGGGGGTGGTCCTGCTGCCCCTGCCCGCCTTCCAGCCCTTGCCCACCAGGTTGCGCCCTCTTGGAGGCCCAGGTAGGTGCCCGATGCCCATACCAGTCTCTGCCTCCCCTTGGTGACCAGACTGGGTCTTGCTGACAGAGCCACCCATGTCTCACCAGAGGCAGGCACATCTCAGACGGAAACTCTGGAAACAGTAATAGTAATAGCTCTTAACTTGTATGAGCCAGGCGGGTGCCACTCCTGGAACCCCTCTTCAGCAGCACCAGCTGGCCGCTGCTTTGACCGTGGCCAGCACTTCCACCGGGCTTCCTGTCCCCACAATCCCTGCTCTAGCACCTCGAATCTCTGGTGACTGTGAGCCATCAGCCCCGAGCCTCACTGTGGCTCCCAGGCCAGGAGCACCTGTCCTCTGCAGTGTCTTGCCAACTATGTGCGTTGCCCTAAAAGCCTTACCTATATTTATTCATGTAAGCCTCGAACCCTGTGCAGTAGATACTGTTAATTTCTCCATTTCACAGATGAGGAAACAGATGGGGGAGAGGGTAAGTGACTTGTCCAAGGTCATCTAGCTAGGCAATTGCAGAGCCAGGCTTCATACCCAGTCAGCACAGCTCCACAGACTAGGCTCCTAACCACCACACCACACTGCCTCTCATTAGATGCCCCTGAATAGAAACTCATGGGACAGCCACATCTGACCCAGACACAGAAAGACAGAGACAGACCCATAAACAGTTGACTGAAAGCATCACCTAAGACAGAAGAGAGGAATGTTTTCACCACAGCTGTGGTGGGTCAGTGGGGCATTGGTGGTTCTGTGGTAGAAATCTCACCTTTCATGTGGAAGACCCAGGTTTGATTCCCGGCCAATACACCTCAGGCACAGCCACTACCCATCTGTCATTGGAGGCTTGCGTTTTGCTATGATGCTGAACAGGTTTCACAGGAGCTTCCAGACTAAGATGGACTAGGAAGAAAGGCCTGGCGATGTACTTCCGAAAATCAGTAAATGAAAACTCTATGGATCACAACAATCTGATCAGTAATTGATGATGGATATGGTGCAGGACTGGGCGATGTTTTGTTCCATTTTTCATGGGGTCACCATAGGTCAGGGACCAACTTGACAGCAATTAACAATAACATGCCGGACCAAGCGTGCCTTTGTGCATGGGAACCCGCTAGGGCTCCAGGAAAGCAGCTTGAGGACGAGAGGACCGTGCCTATTCCCTGAGCAAAGTACTGCCTGCCCTGGGGACACTGAGGTAGACTTTGAATCCATAGAGTGTTGATGTCAGACCATCCAGGCCTCATCCTCATCCAGGCAAACACTTTCTCAGGCTGAGACCAAATGTTCTGAGACAGGCTCACCTACTTCTCCCAGTATGTCACGGGCCTTTCTGCTGGGAAGCTCATCTTGAAGTCTAACCTCCAGCCCTCCTGCTGCAACAAGAGTGCAGCTTCTGGGGGCCACGTGCTCTCCCACCAGGCCTTTGGTCTCTCTCCCTCTCTTCCCAGGCCTGGAAGCCACTCATTCAAGCCTGCTGCTGGCTGTGCTGCTCCCCAAGGCAGGGTTGCCAGACACAGCAGGCTCCAGCCCCTTGAGGAGGAAGGTTCACAAGACGGTCTCCTTCAAAAAGAAGGTGGAGACAAGATGCTACCAGCCAGAGGATAGGAGGCAGGATGTGGCCCTGAAAGGCTCTCCTCCCCCCGGGGGTGCCCTGCAGCAGAGCCAGGATAATGGCAGCCTGGCTCCAAGAGGGATTTGTGCTTGGCCAAGGCCCTCCAGAGGCAGGGGGAGACTATGGGGAGAGCCTGAGGCCTCGCAGGGTCCTGGGCGATGGCAGTGGCCTCCAGAGCCAGGCGGGTGCCACTCCTGGAACCCTTCTTCAGCAGCACCAACTGGCCACTGCTTCAGCCGTGGCCAGCACCTCCACAGGGCCTCCTGTCCCCACCAAGCCCTGCTCCAGCACCTCGAATCCCTGGTGACCATGAGCCACCAGCTCCAAGCCTCACTGTGGCCCCCAGGCCAGGAGCTCCTGCCTCCACCCTCTGCAGCATCTGCCCAGCACCCTGCAGCCTCTGGGATTCCTGGCCTCCTCTGCCAGCCCCCAGCAGCTCCAGAACCCCCTGGCCCAGCCCCTGACTCCTCCTTGGCACCCACAGATGGGGCTGGCCCTGAGTGCCCTCTTCCCAGAGAAGTCTGACATTCCGTCACCCACCAGAAGAGGGGATCTCGATCTCTTCATTGATGCTGAACCCTGAGTTCCAAGGAGAGAGGCAGGAGTGGAGGAAGAGGAGGGTCAGCATAACCCACCTGTCCTGTTTCAATTTCTTGTTCTGCAGTCTGTTTAGTGTTGATTTTTGGTTCAATAAAGAGTTGGACAAATTTGGGGTTGCATCTGCTGACTGTCAGGAGAGATCTCTTGCATCTGCAGGAGGTCAGGTGTGGGTTGGGTGGGTGTGTCTGTGGGTTGCCATGCACAGGTGTAGCAGAGCTAAGTGCTGGGGCTGGAGGGGGCAGCAGCCTTGTGAGTTGCTCGTCTGAGGTCTTGAACCATCACTGTGCCCCAGGGCACAGCTGTTGCCATTTTGGCTCTGGAAGCATTTTGCAAGTATCCTGAACTAGCAGGGAAGAAGGGGTGATGGGAGAGAAGGGTGGGGGGAGAGAGAAGACTGGGCAGAGGCTGTTGAAAGGGGGTACCGATTAAAAAATCAGTTGCCATGGAGTCGATTCTGACAAATGGTGGCCCCATGTGTGTCAGAGTAGAACTGTGTTCCATAGGGTTTTCAATAGCTGATTTTTCAGAAGTAGATCACCAGGCCTTTCTTCCAGGGCACCTCTGGGTGGGCTTTAACCGCCATCCTTTTGGTTAGCAGCCAAGTGCTTAACCGTTTGCACCACCCAGGGACTCCTGAATGGGCACAGCCAGCTAAAAATTGCTAGGGAGAAAAAGAAGAGCAAGTTGCAATGATTTTAAATTTTTTCAGTTACCAAGATTTGCCTTTGGATAGTTGGGTGTAGTACATAACTCCATCATGTTCTCTGTGTGTCTGTGTGCATCTGTGTGTGTGCATGTGCCTGTGAACATGTGTGTGTGTCTGCTTGCACGTCTGTGTGTGGGTCCCTGTTGAGGAAGGTGGGAGCTCCAGATGGAGGCTTCTTTGTCTCTACCTCCTGCCACTCCCAGAGACTTGGAGGTGGGCATTCAGGGTGGGGTTGAGGGCCAGTGTTGGGGCTGGATGGTGCTGCCTCACTTTGGGCGGGGAATGTAAAGCGTCTCATTGGGGGGTGTACCTTGGGAGGGCTGACAGGGTAACTAACTGCCCCCTGGCTGACCATCGTGGGGAAGCAGGGCCTAGTTTGGGGGCAAGGACCTCTGCCAGGAGCCCACTCTTTGCCCCGGGCGTGAAGGGGCGAACCCCTGACCACCTATCGAAGTCTTTACACGTACCGGCCTCGCCCTGGTCCCTGTTGCAGTAGAAAGAGTGGGGAGATGGTGGGGGGCGGGGAATCCTGCTTTTCTGCCCCACCAGCTCTGCGGCTGCCCTACCCGCGGCTGACAGCAGAGGGGGCCCTCGGCCTTGGGATGGAGGCCGGGGCGGGCGGGATGGGAGGCCGAGCTGGGGGCTGGGAGAGAATTTAGTGGGAGGGGTTGGAGGCGGGGCGGGGGAGGTGAGGGTTACAGGGGTGCAGGGGCTGGACAGGTGAACCGGAGGAGGGGGGCGGGGCTCCTGCGGAAATTTTTCCGGCTCCTCAGGGCGTGGGAGTGCCACAGCCTCCGCGCCATATGCAAATGACGCAAATTACTATGCAAACCTGCAGCTCTGAGTCTTAGTGTGCAACTTGGGTCATTTTCCTAACGCAGATGGGGGTGTGGAGGGAGAGGGCTGTGCACACATCCCCCAACCCCGGGCCCAGGGCTTCCTCCGAGGACGGGAGAGATTCCTGTGTCCAGGGAGATTTGCTTCCTTCCCGGGGCATTTAGGGAAGAACAAACTCCGTACTCCGGGAAGCGGCTTCCTTTCGGAGTTTCAGTTTTCGCCTCTGTAAATAGGGGTGACAACGCGGCTCTCTAACGTCTCGCCCCTTGGAGAGGGTTTGTAGGTGGACCCGAAATCCTGCAGGTTGCCTCAAGGCTGGGGGCTGGACAGCAATGACCTCCACCTTTTGGCCCCAGCCCAGGAGCCCCAGCCTTACTCCCCTTTGGCGGAGGCCTGGAGCGGGGATCAGGCAGGGTGTTGCTAGGGGGCGTGATTCAGCCGTTGCTAGGCTGGAGGGACGTTGCTAAGCAACGCTGGGCGGGGCTTGTGTTGCTAGGCCCGAGTAGGCGTCGCCAGGGATCCGACGGGCCACCTAGACCCCTTGGTTTTAGAGGAAGACACCCCAGGCTGGCAAGGATCGCGTCGCTGCTCTCCCCGCAACTCTCCGCGGCCTAAGGCTGTGGGCGACCGGCTGCCCCACTCCGGGCCTTGGCGTCCCTGGGCTAGATGCAGTTTCTGAGGATTTTCCGGTTCACACCCTGTGGAACTCCGTGATCCTCTGGGCTCTGGAGCGAGGAACCCTGGGTCTTTGTGCACGTGTCTATGCGCCTGCTTGTGGGAGAGGTGGGGGTCGCGTTTGGGTTTCCATAGCAACCGCTCCTGTGTCACCCCCATTGCTCCCAAAGGTTTGAGCGGTTACTTGTGTACATTTACATACATCCGCATGTCATTAACATAGAGGCGGCGCCAGAACTTGTTTGAGCAACTATCCCTGGACAGTTCCCTTGCTTCTTTCTCATCCCGCTTGATCGGCAGGTGAGCTGCGCATGCGCAAGCGTTTTGCTTATTGGTGTTACCAGATTTGGGGTGGGTGGGAGAGGCATGACAGTGACCACCTGTTCCCAGCCCTCACCTCCCCTTATTGAACCATTAGCATGAATCCACCCAAGCATCCCTGCCCAGAAACACCCAAACCCCCAGGCAATGCCAGGCCTGGTTGAAATCCCAATGCTCTTCTTTTCTGACTGCGTGGCCTTGGGCAAGTTTAGTTCTCCTCTCCATGTCTTGATTTCCTTCTCTGTAAATAAGGATACATCCTATGAGCAGTTCTACTCTGTCCCATGGGGTCGCTATAAGTCAGAAGCAACTCGACAGCACCTAACAACAATTCCTAACTCCCCATGTTGTGTGAGGGTGGGTTCAATGAGATGCCAGTTTTACATGCGATTGTTGCTGGTCTGGCACACAGCAGGCACTCAGTGGTAGTTTCTTCCCTTCCTCACAAGAGCCCCAGCTCTTCTCAGAACCCAACCAAGGCAGATTAACTTCCTTTGCAGCTCAAGAGATGGCAATTAGACACCATGAAGAACTTCCAGATGACTTGGCAGACTGGTTGGAGGCACAGAATGAGGACTATTGGTTTGCGTGTTTGTCCTGCTTGGAGGCTGGAGAGCAGGTTGGTGAAGTGTGGGCACCCTCGCTCCCAATACACACACACAGTTGTTTCCAGAAACCTTACATTCCTGCCAGGGATGGAGCAGGTCTGAGAGCAGGAACTTTGCCTGGGGACCCACATGTCTGAGCCTTTACCAGAGAGGACTGGGGGGTGCTGGGACCACTCCTTTGCTCTTTCTGGGCCTCAGTTTCCCACATGGACAAGAGGACTCCTCTGCTGTGACTGAGGGACAAAGTCAGCTCGAGAACTCTCTCACAGCTGCAGTTCTCTGTCCTTAGGGCTGTGCAAGCAGAAGTGGAGAGGGACCCCTTGAAGGTGGTTGGGATGGAGGCCCAGATCTCCTCCTGGAAGTTCTTGTTCTTGTTTGGGCTCCAACTGCTCCAGATACCCTCCTCAACAGCTGGGAGGTCCTTCCTGGGACTAACTTCCACCTTTCCTGCTCTGGAAGAAGCTCCTTCTTCTTGCCCTGTTTTCTCCCAGTGTCTCTGTAACTTCAACAGCCTTGATTGCTAGAGTCAGAGGGAAGGCGGAGGATGGGTTAAAGGGGGAGAACAGTTCCACTCTGTGTTGCTCTCTTAGTTCTCAGTTAGGTTCAGATAATTAAAATAAATGAGGTCGGCTCCTATCCTGGGTAGAGGAAGGCTGTTGGTGATGGGGAGGAGGTATAGGAGCTGGATTCTGATTGGTCAGTTGGCTTCCAGAAGAGGTAGGATGGCATGGGAGCCATACCCTGCAGTTGTCACATTGACCACTATATGCAGCACTGCTGTCTGCCAGAGGATGGCGGTGGGCCAGCTCCTTCCCTGGGAGCCACCTGTCCTCCACAGGTAAGGGTTCCAGGGACAGGGTGAGAGCCTGGCCATGCCCAGCTGGCCTGCCTATGTGCTTGTGTCCCACTCTGGGGGCCAATTAAGTCTCCATCCCTAGCTGCGTCGATTAACAGTTAATAAGGCAGCAAACACCTGCAGCTATGGAGGCGAATTAAGAGCAACAGTCGGCATAATACACAACCCGATAAGTGAGCAATTAACAACCGGAGAAAGATTAATAGAAGCAATTATGTCCTACTCGGAGCTCTGTAAATACGACTGTCAATGACTGGGGGATTCAGTCCTGTCCCGCCCAGCCCTGCCCCAGGCCAGAGCCCCTGCTGGGAGGGGAGCCAGCCCAGCCAGCCTGTGGATCCCGAGTCATGGAGCCACATATGCATGGGACATGCACAGATACGCAAACATGACCATAGACATAACGGATACAGATACACTCCAAGAGATGGCTCACAAAATGCAGTCACACAGATACATACATCCCCCACTGTCACACACATTGACACAGATGGGCACACACATCCAGAAATAAGCACAGACATATATAGAGAAATACCCGCACAGTGTCACAGAGACAATCCCCCTGTTATACACAGAGCTAGAGGTACACAGCCTACCAGACACACAGTGACACTCAGATATACAAAGTTACCCACGTAGACACACACAGCTGCACTTTCATAGGGTCACAGAAGCATATGGGCATCTGCCCTCCTTTGATGCCCACCTTGCAAAGGGTTATCCATGGTGAGTGAGGACACTGGAGCAAGAGAATTGGAGTGAGGGTGGGAAGGGACACAGAAAGGACAGTATGTGTGTGAACATATGTGCAAGCATGTCCGCATGCATGTGACTCTAAGCACATGTGTGCTTGCAAGAATGTGTATATGTACATATATATGGCTTTCTTACCCATTAATGGGTATGTTTATGTGTGTGA